GTACATTGTAATATGCGCAGAACAAACATCGCTGGATTCTGTCGATTTTTTTTACCAAAATGATGAAAAATATGCCCTTTCCGCACTGAGCCAACCTGACACTTGAAACGTGCACGCATATGATCGAGCGATGATTTTCGGTTCGCTCGGAGTGCGCCGCGGGGGGTACGGTACAAGCGAAATGATTGTATGCGCATGCGTACCAGTGCAAGTACCGTACCCCCCGCGGCGCGCTCGGAGCGAACCCAAAATCATCGATCGATCATATGCGTGCACGTTTCAAGTGTCAGGTTGGCTCAGTGCGGAAAGGGCATATTTTTCATCATTTTGGCCAAAAAAAAACGAACGAATCCAGCAATGTTTGTTCTGCGCATATTACGTGCATGACGTGAGTATGTCATGAGGTAGGCCTATAGTACAGAGTTTAGGGGCAAACTGTGCAGCGGTTCTGTGGGAAATGTCTGTGTTTTGACGGACGTTTTTGTACTTAATTAGTATTTTGTGCTGCAAACAATTTTGCGGGGTTGCACGCGGAGCCTCATAGTTCTAGGAGTAAGTGAGCGTTAGCCGGCGACCACTGGGGCTGGCACACGTACGGTACACAAATCCCATCGCCCAGATCTTCAGGTAGCAAGAAACTTACGAGACCTTTTTGCGTACATTTTTCAATAGGGACCGAGTTGACTTGAGTTGGTTTCGGACCGAGTTGGTGCTTGGCTCGAGTGACTGAATACCGACCATGTCGATGTTGTGCGCTTTCTTGAAAATCACGCATTCTTAAGAATGTGCATGCACATTCTTATGATTGCGCAACTGGATCCTTGCGCAATCTTCGCAAAAAATAACTCTTCCAGATTGAGCGCACATTCTTAAGAATGCGGGACAAGATAACGGTCTTGTCGATGCCAAGCACCGGCTGCGCTTGGCAAGTCTAGCTGCATCCTCGTTCACTGATTCTTAATAATTATACTGTTGCAACGCAAGGTCACTTACTTAATGCTGAAAAGTAGAGTGGATATGGAAGTATACGCGTATTGGGGGGGGGGACGGGGAAAAAATAAGAGACATAATAAAAGTGTATTGGAAAGAATTCTGATTTTTGGGATAATAAAAGCGGGGGGGGGGGGGGGGGACGTAAGAATGAAGAATGTGAAGAATGAGAATGAATACTGTGATATCCCATAGTTCTAATGCTATTTCCCATTTAAATTGCCACCAATTAATTGTTCACTCCCCCACCATTACATCACACAGCTGGATTCTATCTAGTCAGAAGAGCAATTTTGGCAGCTTCTGGACATCATGTTTTTGTTTTTTTTTTCGTGGCATGCATATGATACATACAGGAACTTGTAACTTGTCTAGCCTAAACAAAGCACTTCCCAGACTAGTTCCCAGTCCTCCGTTATTACAAAACTTCCCATAGTGGGCAGAAAAAAGCAATAATAACAACAGGTTTAATTTGATTCAAATTATCGTAGTTATAAGAGTACAGAAGCATAGAACATTTTCTTTCCTCTTTATATGAATTATTTCCCTTTTATTTTTAACTGCTATACATTTCATGATTTAACATAATTATGTCGTGCAATGTTTGTTAAAATTGCGTAAAATTCATTAATTGCGCACGTGATATTCCCACGCAATCTTAAGAATAAGCGCTCATTCTTAAGAATGCGTGCTCATTCTTAAGAATGCGCGCTCATTCTTAAGAATGCGCGCTCATTCTTAAGAATGCGCGCGCATTCTTAAGATTGCGTGATTTTCAAGAAAGCGCACATGCATCGACATGATCGACAAAAGGGGTTACACTTACAAACAATGACAAAAAAGTACCAACCTGAGGTGGTTAGACCGAACTGCTGTAATCTTTCTCTAAGATCAACAACTCGGAGCTTTCTTAGCTCCGTTAGTGAAGGAATCATGGCGAAGGGGCGCTGATCGGAGACTAAAAACTGAGATTTTCGTTCATACTTTCAGAAACTAACGTTCAGAAAGCGTTCTACTATGGCGCCTAGTACCCAGACGAATGTGCACTTAGTAGCTCGCTTTAACCACAGCTATCAAGGGGCTCTGACGATCACTGGTAAAGTGCGACTCATTCCCAGAGTCTATTTCATTTCAACAACCTCGGTCTCACTTGCAACCCCAATTAACTGGCGTAAAAAAAACTCGTTGAATGTCTAGCTGCGCTGTTATAGCTGAATTTCTGCTGCGATCCCGTGATAGCAAGTTGCACTAGCCCCCAATGGTATATATTTGTACCTCGTAATAAGTATTTTCCGACGTATTTTTTTTAATATTACGCGTTTAACGCCAATTGTGAGTATGATTTCCATTCCGCCTCGAAAACTATTCTTTCAATTTGCCAGGCAGGGGCGGCGGAACCGGGGGGGGGGGGGGGGGGGGGGGGGCAGGGGCACTTGCCCCTGAGATTTTCCCAGGCCAACAAAAGTGCCCCTCTCGCGATTATAAATGAAATGTGCCCCCATTTGAAAAGCGTTCCGCCGCCCCTGATTTGCCTGTTAATACTTTGCTTTCGTTTCATCGTGCGCCAATAACCATTTATTAATTTAAAGCCAATTCACTGCTTTGCGGGAGTTATTTTCCGATCAGTTGACATTTTAATTTAACCCTAACTCCCTAGGGGATGTGCAAAATCATATGAAAATTGGAGGATTCAGGACTGTTAGGGCTATAGAAGAATGCTTAATTAATTTGTGATATTATTTGCTCTGAAATCTTTAGTTTCCAAATTCAATTTTGTCATTGAGTGTTGTCTAGTTTCGATGACTGTATAATTTAAAATCCAGTTCCATCTGTGACATTGCCGCCAGAAAAAGGAGGAAAAGTAAAATCTGCTTTTCAGCTGGTAAAGGAAAAGTATATAGAAGCATAAAAGATTGAACTAAACTTCCAATCATCTGCCGGCTATTTCCGCTGGAAAGTGAAACCTATAAAAACGTTCGTGCTTTTTTTGGGACATGACTTTGTATATAGCCAGTGGCAAAGCCGCGAAACACCTTCGGGGGGGGGGGTTCAATTATGTTTTTTAGTCCCACGATTTGACCGTGGTGACATGCATGTGGCCTTTTCGAGTAGTATAATAGGGGTGTAAACTGCGCCACCAAAGTCCAAATAGTCTCTTTCCCCACCCCCACCCCCAAAATTCTGTGGCCAAAAATTTTGGACAACACATTTAGTGAACAAAAATTCAAACTACTAAAAAAATTGTGAGCCCCCCCCCCCCCAGTCAAATCCGGGGTGCGCCACTGCCCCCCCCCCCCCCATCCTAAATACGTCACTTTATGTCCGGTTTATGATATAAACTTACACCAAAGAGCCAGTCTCAAAAATTTGACAGGTCTTCAAAAATCATCAAGCAATTGACTCGAGATGGTCAACGTATGTTGAACACAACTGATCTGGATGCTAAATACGATATTAATTATACACAATGACTGTATTTTTAAAAGATACAATGTTCCCATTTCTTGAGACTGTGAGACTTGTATTTGAGGTATGCATCTCCAGTGTGGTCAAGCTCTCGCACATATAATTATCAATCACATCAAATTAAACGAATACAAATAAAATGCCATCAGGTACCATAGAAGAATGCAGCCAGTTATTTGAAAATGTTATAAGTCTCTTGTCTCCTAGGCCTGTAATATTTGCCTTTGTTGTCAAGTGAAAACTTGATTAATCTTTTAAGTTACTCTTTATTCATGCTGTGCACATAAATGTACAGGATGACTAAAAAAGAAAGTGACCTGGATTAACGATCTCTATTTTCTTATAAAAGCAATAAATTTGATACACCAATGAAGTATGTCTTAAAAAAGAGCATGTTCTTTCACTCATCTGAAAAATACGGGTGAGGCGTTCCCAAATATGTTCCCCAATACCGATGTTCCCCGAAATCCTTACCATTACAACCCTAACCCTAACCCTAGCCCTATAACCCTAATCCTATAAGGATTACGGGGAACATCGGTATTGGGGAACATCGGGTAGACCCCGAAAAATACAAAGAATTACCGAAATTGATTCATGCTATGCAGTATCAGACTTTATGCATGTTTTACGTAAAAAGAAAAATACCTGAGTTTATAAGTTGGATCCATGGAATTGGAATGCCCTTAAGCTATATTGAGTTGAGCCTGAGAATTACAGATTACACACAGGCCGTTCAAGTACAAAATCAGTGAGATTAATCATTTGATAGGACTGAATAATTATTTTTACTGTCAGATTTTGTGTTTTGAATATGAGCAAATGTTGATGGCGATGTTTGTCTGTTTTCCTTTGCATGTAAGTTTCATTCTTTCATAGAGGTGGGAACAGCCTTATGTTTGCGAAGGCCGATTTGTAGAAGGGTTACGTAAAACAACATTGCGTTTCGAGTCACATGCAGTCAAGTGGATATACTGTCCATCCATAGGTCACGGGTTCGAGTCCCTCTCGGTGTGATGTTGCATTTCTTGTGGGGTTTTGTGTGTACTTACTCTTTTTTTCTCTTGAAATAAGGTTGTTGGGTTTATTTTTCAGTCATTTTGAACATTTTTTTTGCCTAGAAGTTCATTTTCTGTCCCCGCAATTGGGTTTAATCTTTTTTGCTTATATGGTTCGTTAAAAGATTTCACACAAAAAATGATTGCCACTTTTCGACGGCCTATAGTGTTGAGCTATTTCAGCTTTGCATTAATTTAAATCTACTTTCCGGGAGGCAAAAAGCAGAAATGATAACCTGAAAACGTTCGACAATGTCCGCTTTGTGTTTCGAAAGCAGAAAAAACTACTTCCAAGTTCTAATCTACTTTTCTGGTAAACGCTGAAACTTTGAACCATTCGACGTTCAGTATTTCTGCTATCGACAGCAAAAAAAGCAGATTTCCACTTTAGAGGGCGCTATCGCAGAATAGTCCCCTGTCTTCTGCGCGCGTATAGAGTGGATACTGCAGAAGATGGTCCCATGCACCATAATCAGAACACATGTGGTCACAGCACGCAGTGAAACTGTGGATGAGCCTTGCACTAAGCAGCGAAAGCAGGTGAATATATGGACGGTGGGCATTTATCTTCGAAAACTTCTACAGTTGAGTGCTTGCTAGAGTTGCTTCTTACTGTCCTTGTCTTCGTTTTCAATTGTTCTTCACCCGGTCACTTTTCGGTGACCGTGCACATCCGACAAGTCCGATATCGTCCAGGCAGCTAAAATGACGCACTTATGGGTTATGTAATGACGCACTTATGTATTGTTGATGTACCCTAACGTGGCGCGGCCCCTAACGTGGCGCACTTTTATTTTTCGCCTGTAGCGCCTAGCTAGAGCAAAAGTTTTAACTGAAATTTCACAGAAAGTGAAATTTTATCAAGTTCTAAACACTCCCGTTCATAAATCGCGAGTTTATTTACCCGTTACAAAGTTAAAAGAAAAAAATATTTTGGCGTGATTTTCCGATTTTATTTTCAAGTGCAAAGTGAACCCTTTGAAAATGCCCCGGAAAATAAGAAAATAATGTTCTGACAAACATCTGGCTGGGTTTGTAAGTAAAGATAATAATGATTTATCAGAATTTATCAAGTTTACAGAAATTCTTAAATGTTCATATGGAATTTTCTGAGATTTATTCAAGTGCGCCACGTTAGGGAACACTCCGCCAATCTGTGCCCAATTTCCGGACGCGACCGTTTTTGCATTTCGGATTAAATTTTATGAAACCGAAATTGTTCACAGAGGTTAAAAAGCAAACATTAGAAAGGTAAAAGTACCAGTATTTCACTGCATGAATTTGAGGTTTGTCAACAAAGAGGTTTGGCAACACTACACGAGGAAAGTTGGGTAAGCTTCGAAGTGCGCCACGTTAGGGAACACGACTATAATGACGCACTCACCTTTCACTTTGAAAAGCGCGGCGCGCGTGTGCCGACGCGGCAAGCACTCACTTGCAATCTTGAAAGTTACACCTGAATGAGCACTCACGTAAAAATGTGAAAAGTCAAGGCTTTGCCGGCAACTTATGTCAAATCGATAATTTTGTAGCTAATTTACTAGTCCAAGACTAGCTCTACTGAGTGGAGCGTTGTTTGTATGGAGGGGTACCCGTAATTCAACGCTCCACTCAGTAAAGCTAGTCCAAGACCAAGTACTAGGACTCTACAGATCGCCTTTTTTTAATAGGTAGTGGATATTTTGCCGGAGGTAACGCCGGCAAACTAACGTTTACTAAAGGTTTGCCGGCGGCAATCCATATCAACAGAGGGCGCTGTACTCTTTAAGATAGGGCTGAATTATAACATGTATTAAATTCCCACCCAAGTTGTGCAGCACAGTCGGTGCAGTGGTGAACCAATGGCTCTAGTGAGTGGGTTGTCCCGAGTTCGAATCATGATCCCCGCCACAATTTTAAGGGTTTTTTTTCCCATCCCCAAATAAATAAGAATATTCTTCTTTTATTATTTTAATACGTCTCAAACATTTTATTGCAGAGTATTACTTTTTCTTTTTCAGATTTGTGGCTCTGGAGGATTTTTTTTTAAAGGGAAATAAAGTCCGAAATTATAAAATGGTCTGATTCCTATCTTGTAAATACAAAAATACAACGATAATATTGGCATGGAGCCAGACCAAAATTTGTCACCGGAAAATGTTTAAGTACAAAAAAAACAGTAACTTCGCATGTTCAGTGCATATCCGGCAAACTAACGTTTACTGAAGGTTTGCCGTCTCCGGCAAAATATCCACTGCCTTTTTAATATTTGGACATGTTCGGTTGGTAGAGTCCAAGATACATAGCCTTATTGCGTTACTAATAACTTTTTTTGACCATTTTCACTCATACCCCCAATCAAAATTGGGGAAAAAATCCGTACTGGATCACCACTTTACCTGCTGCCAAATACATCAATTTTCACCTCACCTTGTGATTTCACCCAAGAGGATTCCAGGAAGCTGTGTAAATGTGGAAAAAAAAATTAGGCAAAATGTGTTTTTAGAGCACGTTTTGGATGCACACTTCGTGCAGAACTAAGTTGAAGCAGCCGGTCAAAACTGATTGAAGTGGCTGGAAGGCAGCGGTACGTTATATGCATGACATCAACAACCATGACAACGCATGAGCCGGCCAATGATAGTGCAATACGTCATTATGAATATTTATTTTCTCATACGAATGTATTTAGTTTATTTCAATGGATACTTCAAATACGTCCAAAGATTGATTATTGCAACAGCGATCGTGCGCGGCCACGGGGTTAAGAGTCTCGTGTTTCAAGCAAGAGTCCGAGGTTCGAATCTCGAAGTAAGTGACTGATTGATGAATAGAAATAAAGGAAAGAAGAGGGTGAGAGTAGAGGAGGGAATATTAACCATAAAGGATGCAACTTTTGGCGCTTGAAAATTAATTGGAAAAAAGCTGTGATCCAGTACGGATTTTTTTCCGAGTTACTCAAGCTAATCCCTGCTAATGCTCCTATCAATTCCAAAAACTGTGCATTCTTCCATCCATTTAAATGTGATAATATCCCCACGCCAGAATCAACTAGCTGTGACATCTGACAAAATGTCCAAGGCTGCCCGTGCCATCAAATCAGCTAAAGATGCAGCCAAGAAGGTTGAACATGGCAACAAGATCCGGAGCTACATCAAGGCTGGGAGGGCCGCACCAGGACCGCCTCTTGGACCGGTGCTTGGCCAGGTCAGTCTGTTCAAACTTTCACTCCTCAGGCATTGGATTTAAAGCTATAGTCCATCATTTGCAGCCATCGGAAAAGTAACTGGCGTAATTATTGTTGAAAAACAAACTTAGTTGAAAGATAGTAAGGGAACTAAACTCCCTGTGAAATTATTCTTTCTGGGAAGCTGTCATTTTGAAGTAGTCAACGAAAGAAGGCATTTCCAATGGTGATTCTTAAGAAGCACCGTAGGAAAATTTAAATTAGTAGTTCGTTTTGTTATTCAGCGCAGCGCGCGCAAGTATTGGAACGACGCACACGCGCGCGCGGTTGTTATAATTCGTCGGATCAGTGCGAGACGTCGCGTATAGCTGCAATTCAAAACATGATTCAGTAACTTTGATTTGAAATTGAGATCTTAGAATGCTGTTTTTCTCGGAATGTACAGCTGAAGCTTAGCTGAAACTTTATCAAGTTAGTTGCTTAGTATCCTTTATTAGATTTTGAACTCTTTTGTTGCTTCAAACGAACAAAATGCACAAATTACAAATGATGGACTATAGCTTTAAGGGATGCTCTTCAGTAACTTACACATGTAATAAAGTGATGACTGCTCTATTCTGGCAAAGGCACACTGGTTGTGATGTACGTGTTCATGGGCCCCGCACACAACTACCCTTCCCCCCCCCCCCCCCCCCAAGGGTCAGAAAGGGAGGGTAGGGATTGAACGCTTGCGAGCTACAGTGCCTAGGGCGCTTTTGAGGAATCCTTGTCATTACTAGAAACAAATAATAATAATAAATATATTGGCTAATTTGTATTTTAAAAAAATACCCTTTATTGTTTTAAATTCACCAAATTATCGCATCTTTGTCACTCGCCCTGGTGTTCCTAAGCCTGGTCGCCAATAATATCCCTCGCCTTTGGCTAAGGCTATTATCGGCATCCATTCTCCAGGGGGGGGGGGGGATTATTTTTTTGCCGAAAATTTTGATTTTTGCAAAAGGCACAATTTCCAGCCAAACGCCACAAATACTGATTCGCAAGAGTCATTTCAACAGTATTTGTACGATATTTCTTGCCGAAATCTCATATGTTTCAATACTCTGGGGTATGCACTGGAGCGTAAATTGTACAACAATAGGCCGTGCGCAACGGCCAATTCTAGATCAACACACGGTCCGCCTCCACAGACTTCATGGACTTTGTGTGTGTGTACAACCGTCACAAGAGATTAGCGTGTTTAGACATCACCCATAGGCGAGTCAAGGCAATCTTGACATCTTCAAGGGAAAATACAACATTTGCAAGCATCAAAAAATAAAACTACCAGATCATTTTGAAATACCTTGCTGGACTGTTAGCGAATGAGAGTGTAAAGCATCCTGTAAAATCATGGCACCTGGTATACTGTCATTTTCAAGAAAAGTGGTATTTTTGGCCGACCAGCGTTAGAAAAAACTGGCTTTTTTTCAAATACTGGCCCCAATTGACCATCGCACTTGTTTGCAATCGATTACACACCTATGAATGGATACAAGCCAGCTAGGCTGGTTCCCTGACCTTACAATTCCCCAATGTATGTAAACTGCTCTGTTTCTTCTTATATGGAGTCAGGGAACCAGACTACAGAAAAATGATTGTTTTTCTTGGTTTTTATAGCATTTTCGAACCCAAAACCTCAAAAAAGTCAGTGTAACTATATTTGCTATATATTTCCAACCCCCAATTCCATCCATTTCTGAAAATTACAGCAAAAGCAAATGATGTATATTTCCTTTAACCCGTCAGCCGTGCCTGTGTATAAAAACAGCCAGTGCGTGTTATCAAGCACATATTTATTCCCTAATTATCCTAACTTTTTTTTATTTTTAAGTATGATCCTTTCATAATTTTGATGTGACTTCAAATTAAAAAAATATAAACCCAACAATCTGCCCTTTGAATTACAATTATATATAATTATTCTGAGTTACAGAATAATTACAAATTTTGAATTATTTGCAAACTGACAATGATCCAGTTCTTGCAGGATAAACTGGTTCCCCTCCCATCAGAATTGATGAAGTAGGTTCTGGGAACCAGTCTATGGGCAGTGTGGATTTTGTTTGCGTGCAAAAGTAACCCAAAATAACAGAGTGTTGCAGATGCCTCAAAACAGGAAAAGGAAGTTGTTTTGGTAAAAGGTGACGTTCAGGTTGAAAATTTGTCAGGAGAAATAAAATTGAATTTGTTGAAAAGCACTGAAAGTACCAACTTAATTTCCATTGTTTGTGTACCCATTCCTTTTTCGCCTTTCTACAGAGAGGAATTGCAATCGGCCAGTTTTGCAAAGACTTCAATGAAAAGACCAAACACATTAAGGATGGTGTACCACTCCCGTGCTACATTCATATCAATGTAAGTATCTACATTATCACAAATGGGTGTGGATTATCTACATTAAATTTATTTTTTGGGGGGGAAGGGGGAGATATAAATTGAATTAGGGAGTCACTTTCAAAATGACTTTAGTTTGACAAAAACCTAGCTGTAATTACATGACAGCTTGAAGAAGTGAAAAAAGTAAGAATAGGCAGGCCTTGTGAAACTGGCCTCAAACCAGTGTAAGTACGAAGTCACAAGTGGCAGTCAAGATTGGTCAATGAGTTATTTGGTCAGTGAGTCGGTCGGTCAGTGAGGCAATGCACTACTAGGCTAGCCCCTCTAGGAAAAGCATAAAATACGCTGCACTGATCAATACACCCCCCCCCCCCTTTGGTATCTGTGTTCCTCTGCTAAATCATAAAAAAAGCATTTCATTTTAAAGCTAGGGTAGATCATTTGTGCATATTTTTTTTTCCTTTTGAGGCTACAAAAGTGCTCAAAATCTAAAGACGGGTGCTTAACAACTAACCTGATGATTTTTTTTAGCTCGGCGAGTGCTGTAGGCCCTATATTCTGAGAAAACAATATTCTAGGATTTTGATTTCAATTCAAAAGTTGCTGAGATGTTTTGAGTTGCGCCCAAAATCAGTGTCCGGGACACATTCTCATGCAGCCGATTACAGCTACGCTATTTCACACACTGAACCGATGAATAATAGCAACCGCGTGTGCGTCGTGTGAATACTTGCGCGTGCCCATTCACGGATTTGCCAAATTACAAACCAAATACTAACCAAAATTTCCAAAAAAACGTCACTTGACGCATCTTTGAAAATGGCCTTCTATTATTGTTTTCTTCAAACTGACAGCATGCCAGAAGGAATAATTTCACAGGGAGTTTAGTGCCATTACTATCTTTAAACCCAGTAAGTTTTTCAACACTAATTTCATCAGTTACTTTTCGGATAGCTGCAAATGATCTACACGTACAATACCTGGTCTGGATTCTATATCGTGCTTATTTTTCTGACCACCAGCCTGACAGATCGTATGACATTGAGATTCGAACTCCACCAGTTTCATACCTAGTCAAGCAGGCTGCTGGAATGAACAGAGGTGTACATGAAGCAGGTAGGATCAACTTATTGCTTGGTAAACAATCTTGCTCATGGACCTTTTTCACGAGAAAGCCATTTTGGTCGTGTTCCCTGAATGTATTTTTTTAATTGTGAACTGTTGAATGGGATGGTGCCAGACTATTTCTACATTCTAGCCTCACTTTCATTTTTTTTGTGGCTTAACCCTAACCCCCTAGGCCCTTGTTGCTTACAACCATCCTCAATCCTCCAAAATCCTCCAAAATTTTCAAAAATTTTGCAACTCTGCCTAAATTTTTCAAAATTGTCAGACAGTCCTGCCTCAAAATGCATTCATCCTCAATCCTCCAAAATCCTCCTCATCCCAAAACTTTGCACTCGTGTTTTAATGAAAGATAACCAACGCCAAATCCTTCAAAATCATCAGACAGTCCTGCCTCAAAATGCATTCATCCTCAATCCTCCAAAATCCTCTTGTGCTTCAATCACCATTCATCCTCAATCCTCCAAAATCCTCATGTGCTTCAATCACCATTCATCCTCAATCCTCCAGAATCCTCATTTGATTCAATCACCATTCATCCTCAATCCTCTAGAATCCTCCAAAACCGCCAGGAGGATTTTGGAGGAGTGAGGTGGGTTAGGGTTAAAACATTAGGATATCTTTAATCACAAATTCAAAATTATTCATCAGAGCAGACTGATATAATGTGTAATTAACCTCATGTCATTGCTTTCATTTCTCTTCGCAAGTTCCAAAAACAAAGATTTACCTCACTTTAAGTTTAATATGGCTGGCACGTGAATAAGGTCCATTGGCATACATCTCATTTTTTCATATCCTTTAGCAATCCATTTTTTTTCTCATAATTTCCCCTCCTCTTTGTTTTACACATACATTGTATTTTAAGAAAATACATCTATCATTTGTTGAAACTTTTGAGTTCCTAACATGGTGTATGGCACTGAGCCTAAAAAGTTTAGCTCATTTTGTTTTAGCCCAAGGTAAATTTAAATTTTTGCTTTGCCTTGGTGTCTTTGCTCGATGTCTTCTTTTCATGATAAAAATCAGTGCAGAAATTGCAGTATCCCTCTTGAGGCCAGTAAAGGTACTGTGGAACACCACTCTAACGAACATTGCGGGATCCACAGAAATTGTTCATAATAGCGATCGTTCGGTATTACGATTTTCATTTGCTGCCCGTACTCCGGTACTCACTTTTCAAATAGCGCCCTTCAGAACTTCACCCTGCACGCCCTGGTAGTTACTGAAAGACGACTTTGAACACATGCCAACTATTGAATTATGTAATTACGCAGGTTTTGAGCTTACTACCTACAGCAATGGGTGGCTTTCCCATTCTATTTTTTGGGGAAATGATAGCAACTTGCCGCTCTTCTGTTGACATTTTTCAACAACAATGTTCAGTAAACAAAATTCGGGAGCCAAGCATGGTGTTCGGTGTAGCCAAATTATTGGTGTAGTGGTGTTCGGTATAGCGATGTTCCACTGTAATACAATTTTTTTTAAATCACTAGTAAAATCACTAGTATAGTGTTCCAGCCACTTTGGGAAGCACTTTGCATCGTGCACAAACTTTTTTGTCACATCATTTAAAATGGCAAATTGTTCAAACTCTAACTTATAAATCCAAAATCTTTAACCTACCACCCTTGTGAAAATTTCTGTCGAGAGTGCTGGCAGAACTCAAACTCTGTTTGATTTCGTTTGCCCAGAAACCAGCAAAGATGTACTTAAGCTCTGGTAGGAGCTCCTAAATGTCATTTCATGGTTGGTCGGAAGGCCTGTCCTCGGAAAATTGACCAAAAATGGGCCCCCTAAGTTGTCCATAAAATATAACTACCAATTGACCAAAAATTAGCCAAATGTAATGCCATCATCAGTAAATGCACTCTTGGACATCAGACATTTTTGGAACACGCCCTTTTTCTGATCGATGCGCATGCGTGTTTATATAACCGACATACAGATCCTTGTCATTTGATTGGTGGAACTCACATCACGTGATATTTGTTATTACTGCCCTTCATGCCGGGGCTAAGAAAGTAACTTCCGCCCATGGGGAATGGGAAATACTATTCAACAGTTAGGATCATTCTTGTTCCATGACGCGGTATTTGTGTGCAAATGCATGCTGGTGTGCGCAGTCAGCATTGTGCGTAGCGCATATTTTTCCAAGGAGCCAGCGCTACTGCGTTGGGTTCAAACATTTTCGTTAAGGGGTGGATATTAAGAGAGAAATACATTTTTTACAATTTCAAATATATCAAATGACAAGGATCTATGTCAGTTATATAAAACAAATATTGAGTGGCTTTATATTGTGAAATGGGAGGAGTATTATCGCTCGGTAAAATCTGTGAACTTTTCCAGTTCACTCGGCTTCGCCTCGTAAAATGGAAAAGTCCAGATTTTACCTGGCGATAATATTCCTCCCATTCCATGCTGAGCCACTCAATATTTGTATACTATTTTGTGTATGAAGTGAGACATTCCAGAACTGGGCCAGAGCTTATTTTGCACTCGAGCTTGTTTCCTATCAACGTGTCTCTATGGGAAGTGAAATTAGCTAATGAAACATTGGCCCATTTTCACAAACATTTCCCAGATTTCCATATGAATATATCTCCTGAAAATTGGCTAGTCCAAAACGATGCCTGCATTTGCACTTCCTGTCCCCTTTTGAGGATAACTTATGTTAGTTTTAAGAAATATATGACATCGATTTGATTTTATGCAATAAATAACGCCTTTTTTGTTTTCTTATTTCTTTCAAGGGAAACAAATATTTGGGAAAATATCTCTGAAACACGTCTACGAGATTGCCAAAATCAAGCACGAAGATGCTCCACTGCGGGACCTGAGTCTGCAGGACGTTTGCAAGCAGATCATTGGATCCTGCCGCTCAATGGGTGTCCAGGTCGTCAGGACGCTTGACTCAGAGGATTATGGGGAATTTCTGGAAGAGGTCGCGGAGACTCGGAAGGCGCTGGATGCACAGAGGGCTTTGGATAGAGTGTCCTGATGACACACTGACTCTTGTTCAAACTGTGTGCTTGGGATTCGGCCTCATCTCTGGCTCCTACTTCAAGTCTGGCTCTGAAATCATTTTAAGGCAGAAGTATAACTAAGAGATGCTGCTATGAGGCAAAGGGCCCCTGTTCATGGCTTCTGCCCCTCCCCCCAGATCAGAAATTGACGGAAGGCAAAAGTTATCTTGTCAGTGTTAAAAATTAATTAATGAGTACCCCCTTCAGAAAATTGGTCCCCCTTAAGTACCCCTCTCGGCTGCAAATGGGACCACAGTTACGCCACAGTTTGAATGCCTTAAACCCTCCTAGTCTTACTTCACAACCCTTCAAGTTTTGCAAACCCACTTTGCCCATAGAGTTAAAACCCAGTACACTTCAAATTCCTGTGAGTTAGTTTTCTGTGGAGAATGGATAACACTTTCAATACCTGCACAATTACTGTGGAGTGCTGTGGCTTCGTGGTTAAGGGCACTGGATTCGTGGTCTGTGGGTAAAGCTGCAGGTTGTGGGTTCGAGTCCAGCCGGGGTCATGGTGTGTGTGCCCTTGAGCAAGGCACTCTGTCACTCATTGCTTCTCTCCACCCAGGAGTAAATAGGTACCTGTGAGGGCAGAGATGGTTATTGTGGTTGAATAAGCTTGCTTGCGCATAAGGCCAAAAAAAAAAGTTTCCGGTTTCTGGTATGGAGCTTGCCCAAAAAGTGGTGCGGCGACGCGGCTTTTTTTTTTTTTTTTACCTGTTTTTTTTTGCTTCAAATGTTGGCTGGTGACTGCAAATGGTGCCCGACTAAACCTAGTGCAAATATATGGGAGTCCGGAGAGGCCACATAAAGCTTATTCTCGATCAAAACCCCATCTAAAAACACGTTAAAATTGTGCAGCAGCAGGATTCCAGTCAAACCAGTGAGTTTGGCGGTTTTAAGACATCATCTTTCATTGAAAAAAAAAACCTTTTCATTTTGCCGACGCGCATGGATACGGCGAGGAGCGCGCATACCAGAAACCGGAGACTATTTGTTTTGGCCTAACGGGCAGCATCAAGCTGTATACACCCCAGGGAGCTGAGATGGTATTTGGAATGTTTAATTGGCCCAATGATCAGAGGTAATAATAATACTGTAACTGTAAGCGCTGTGATTTAGTTTACTAATAAGAGCGTTCTTAAATGCCGATTATTAATATAAGGCAAGCAGACAGATTAGGTCATGCTTCACTACTCTTCACGGTGCTGTTTTTTTTGTGTGTGCAGTGACTCTCTGTGTGCCACAGTTACTTAAACACCTCATAACCCTTCGCCTGAAAGTTTGCCTGCAGGGTTTGAAAGGGTTTTACATATATTGCTGTGAATATTGACATCCAACTAGGAGGGTTAACCCGAACGGTCCTGAATCCTCCAATTTGTTAATGATTTCGCAAGTACCCTAAGGGGTAGGGTTAATGTCCAAATGGATATACTTCAAAACTCTTGTCCTCAAAATTAAGGATTTGTTGTCCCGAAAGCAGGATATTGACCCGTCTTGAGCATTTGAGGTTGTGTTTTCAAATATCTTCCGGAGCCAAAGCCGTAGACAAAGCCCAAGTTTAGAAAACCCTGCTTGGAAAGTTCTTTCAATGTCATTTCCTGTACCTCTCAGAAATGTGTGAGAAGTGCATTTTCTTTTCACAAACACTTGAAGTCATACCCAAGATGGAGAGATGACCTGTTCGCACAGAGGTTTGTGAGATCACTGCCTATCATGGGTGGCTTGTGCGTAAAGCGCTCGCCTCTCACCAAGGTGACCACGGTTCGAATCCTGGCCGCGGATCGCATGTGAGTAGAGTTGTGCGTTGGTTCTCTCCTGTGCCACAAGGATTTTTCTCCGGGCCCTCCGGTTTTCCTACCTCCGGAAAAATCAAACACTTTCGATCTCAGGCTTTGCTCCGTGGTCATGTATGGGTCGATGTGGCCGGCAGCCATAGGCGCCTTTACATGCCAGCGGCCCGACCACGTTGTAGCCGCGTCCTTCGCAATTCAGCATACCAGCTGCGAGTAAGGATGATTAGCCTCCAAAATTATTATTATTATCTACAAAATCACAGATGAAAGTTACACGGGAATGCAAGCTATATTTTTTTTCTTTATTTGAAAGTATTTCTTTAATCACATGACTTCAGCACAGTACCAGAGGTGTGTCTTTTGCAAGACTCAGCCCTACGTTTGTTGCATATTTTTTTTATGAATTACCTGGATACCTCATAATGTCCAGGTCTCCATGGCAACATTCATGTGATGTTTCAACCTTGTTTCAACTTGCTCTGTTCAGTATATAAAATGACGGGCATTATGTGGGGATATACTCGTATCAATGGGCCATCTTGATATCTGTTTTTAAACATGAAATTTAGAAATGAAGATGATGGAGTAGGTTGACTTCGTGCTGTGATGAGTAATTCTAAATTGTGGATGAAAGTCATCGCGTGTTTTAGAGCCAAATAAAATTTTGAAAGAAAGACGAGCATTATTGTTGACGGGTGTCAAATAATCTGGAACTTAACTTTTTCGAGTGTATAAATAAAAAAGCATGGATCTATAACATGGAATTGAAATGTCCGTCCTTTAAAGTTCCAATGCCCTGGTAATAACCTACATGAATTTTGATACCCGTTTTGTGTTATCTTGTAACTTCCATAAATGGCTTAATGTTACTGTTAAAAAAAATCGCCTCTGATGGAGCTTATTCTCCTTATGGATATTGCAACATAGTTGTCGGGGGGGGGGATACCAAGCATTCTGTTGGCAAGACCGAGGGGAACATCTTGAACAAAGGTTTTGGATTTAGTGCCAGTGGCATACTTAGGGAAGGAGGCACGTATCCACATCCCCTCCCCTCCTCCCCCCCCCCCCCACCTCTCACTCGCCCTTTTCTGAATGAGGCTATGACAGAACAGTCCTCGGTTGGAAAACACACAAAACCAATTATGTGCGGCAAAACAGTTTTAATGATGAAAAGCAGAAGAACAATGAGATGTTCCCGATTTACACCATAATATATGTATTCGTTTTAGTTCGGTATATGAAGTCTTTCTCTACATAATCCTCTGCCTCTCTGGTTCGAAGTCGTCAACCCCCCCCCCCCCCCACCCCACCCCCCCCCCCCCACCCCACCCCCTCCCTGCTGTCCTTGGCAGTCTCGATCTCCCATTCCATCTCGACTTGGGCTTGATCCTCTTGCCCGGCCAGACGGCGCGCCACGGCTTGCCGGACGTTCTCGCGATGTTTTTGGTTCAGCCGAGCCCTGAGCGAGTAGATCCAACCAAAAAACCCCAAGCTTTGATGTTTTTAGAGAATTCTTCCCCGACCTATCGATAGCTGACTTGGTAATTATATATTGTCCTGTCTGTCAGCTAGTTAATAATCTACTGGTACGCCTGGTTCTCATCAGAAGCAATTTATAGTGTAATAAACACACGCCTATTGGGAATCGCAATCGCATTTTTTAATTAGAAACATTGATATTTTATATGAAATGTGTAAAAAAAATTAAAAACACCACAAACTACTGTTGATTACAAAACCTGTTTGCGCAGAGGCGCTCCACACGTTTGATTTCATTTTTTCCCCAGGAATTAATGGTTGTTGGAATCGCAATCATATTGCGCACGGTCTGTACCTAATAAGGCTTTTTATGTAACCTCTTTTGCCCGTTTGGCCTCGACTCAAAGAGTATAGATAAATTGTGTTTTTACAAAATAAAATAACTCCTAACTAGCGTTGATTGCAAAACCTGCTTGCACGGAGGCGTTCCAGACGTTTGGTATTTGTCAGAAGGTCTTCTGTTTCTTGGCAACAGTGTTTTCTGCTCGTTTATGGCACTCCCTATCCAAGATCTCCACAACCTAATTAGAAAGTAGAGTTTGGAATACGGCAATTTTAATTCAGGATAGAGGAAGCACAGGAAGTATGTCTGTTTTGTGTTTGCTTGTTTCCTTGTCTTGGTTATTTTTATCCTTCTGCAACGCCCCCCCCCCCCAATTATTACAAAATAGAGAGTACAGAATATTAAAGGTTGTTAAAATCACCCCCCCCCCCCTCCTTTTTTAATCGTATAATGAGCATAGCCTGAAGAATTGTTTTGAGAGGGAAAAAAGAAAAAGAAACCGAAAGGAGGAGCACCAATATCATTATTTTCGCGTGGATTTTTTTTTCTAGAAGGGAAAATACACCGTCCGTTGAATAAATAGAAAGTGGTTGCGGACATGACGCTCGGTGCTGTTCACATTTCATATTCAGTTTCATATCGTACGTAGTACGGTCATGTATTAAAAAAAAAAAAACCTGTATTTTGTTACAAAAACAAACCTCATATCCTGCTCGTTTCCTAATACAGGGTGAGTAAAAAAAAAAGCAGAACTCATCAAACCCCAACAAATATATTTCATACTTAAAAAAATATGTAGCACTAAAAATATTAATGACTGGAAAGCCAATTTCATAAGCTACTTTTATATGAAAAAAATTACTGAAATTTCTCATCCGTTCAAAGAATATCACAATTTGAACACAATGACCTTAAAACCTGTCTCGTCCAAACAAAAAGCAATTTATTGTGTGTTTTGACTGTTTGGAACAACAAAGAAAATGACTGACACAGAATACTTGTTTCAACAACTGTCACCAACTGTAGAACACAAGGGGTCTGCTCAGAAGTCCGACGCCTCGTAGGTCCAACGCCTCATAAGTCCGACGCCTCATAAGTCCGACAACGGAAAAACGAGGTGTTTAATTTGTCGGACTTATGAGGCGTCGGACTTATGATACGCCCCGAACACAATATCTTTATTGACAACCCTGGTTAAGCAAACAATATGATATCAAAAATGTATTTGTTAAAAGACGGGCCTTCAAAAGGACATTGTTGAATATTTGTAACGTTTAAACTGAGGTTTTATCGCTGGTGATGTTTGAAGACAGTGACGACGATTCTTGAAATCGCATTTTTTTGGACGAGATATGTTTTAGGGTCATTGTGCTTAAATGGTGATATTTTTTGAATGCATTTACCAAATTCGGTCATTTTTTCATCTAAAAGTAGCTTATGAAATTGGCTTTCCAGTCAGTATTATTTCGCTTTTGCTATTTCCTTTCTTAGAGTTTGGGCACTCTCCTGAAGACGGTCAGA